TTTCATAATATCATGGCTACAATCCACAATATCCATAATACTGAATTATTTGTAAGAGGCAAAAAAAGCTCCAACACCCACACATATCTTTTTACAGAATGGAGCATCCTTCTCATTCCTTATTGTCTGTAGCAGAAAATTAATCTAAGACAAAGTAATGAAGCAAACATGTCATGTGAATTCAATACTTGGAAGGCATAGAAGTTACAGAAGCTACAGAATGTTAGTACTACCAGGTCAGGACAACTCAGTTGTTAGCAAGGCTTGGTAAAGACTCATATATTTACATGACAAGTTGTACAATGATTCAGGTCTTTTCCTCATTAATCTTCCAGTGACACAAGTCTCACTGTCAGAATTCATGGATACATTGGCATCTCTGATAGTTGCTTGCTGCATGCTAATTCTGTTTTCGGATGAAGATACTAAAAAAAGAAAGTGAAGGTGTTCAGATCATGTGGTCAAATATGATATCATATAACATACCTGAGATGATAAAGATCTTGGTAAAGCAGAACACTCCTCTTCAATTTTCAATCATTCTGTATGGCATGCTTCACTAAGGGCTGGAAAACTTACACACATCTTACTGAGCAAAGACTCCAAAAATGCAGAAATTATGTCTGTTAGTTGGTGAGCAAGAACTCCATGCTGGGTGGAGTGAGTTGCACAGTTCAGAATACACAAAATGCTTTATAAAATCCAAAGAACAGCAAGAACTGTCCTTGTATATATCTGCAGCACATCTCAACGTTCATGGTCACCCAAATAATCCACTGAGTGGAAACATGCTCCCAAACACTCTTCCGTCCCACCAGGGCAATATGTCAAGGCTTATGGTTCGTTGTATGGACCACACATCTTCAATTGCAGGCAGCATTTGGTCCCTCTGACACACTAAGTCTTCCTGCATGAGCAAAGGAGCTGTTCTAATTGTGAACACTACTGTTCCTCAGCAGATTTTTGAGGAACAAAACATTTCTTTCTTGGTCATATTGCTTATCACCATAATGCACCAAATTTGCAAGCTGGGCTTTTAAGATCTATGAACTATCCATAGATAATTTAACTCCAGCAACAGACACCATAAAGGAGGCAGAATCAACTTTCAAAAAACTAATTTTAATCAAAACAAAAAAATTGTTGATCATTAACAAGTTTATAAAACAGTGATTTAGTTACATAAATAAATTGATATCAGTGTATCAAATCTTAATTACTTTCAACTTCATGAGCATGTTTACATGGGTGATGAAGTACAACCTTTTTACCTATTATAATAAATAAAATGGAGAGCATGAAATAGTTTTTCTAAACAAAAATACCTACAAACATACCTCTAGCATGTTCTCTAATGAAGGGAACAAGAGACACTGGACAACTTTTGCACCAAAACATAAAAACTGCTTTAAAAAGCACAAGGATACAGAACCATCAGCTAAAGTAAAGACTCTATACTGTAACCAAAGTTGGTATTTAATAATATAATGAACAGTTTGGTAGTTAGATCTCCAGTTTGGTTATTTTAAAGCATTAAGACAAGGCAAGATAGAAGGCTGCTTCTGTTTGAGTAATTCTAGAGAAAATAAAATATATTAAAAAAACAAACTGAAAAGTAGAACAGTCATACCTACACAACTTTCTGTCCTGCACAAAGTCAAAATACCTATGCAGAATATATATATATAATATATATATATGTTATTTGTGCACAAAGGTTAGCTTATTATTAGCTCACTGCAAAGGCGTAACGTATCATGTCAATAATTTTGGAAAACATTTTGCGTTTTGTGTCAAAAAGGATATTCTTTAAGTCTTCTAGGCTAGGAGGCACAAACCCCAATTCTGGCATACTGTATTCTTAATGCTAAGGCTTGCTGCTCTGGCTGTGTATTTTTTGTTGTCCCTCTTTACTATAGTGCCTGTTACAAGCATGTGTTTATGTGTGTATACATATATATATGTGCATACACATATATATATATACACACACATACATATACATATATAAAACTTCCCCAGTAGGTATCATTCCAACCATGCAATCCAAAAGATGGCTCTGAATAGATGCCCAGCATATAGTTCACCACCTGAGCCAACCCTGAAGCAAGGCGCCCTTTAGTCCTTCAGATAGTTTTTCTTTAAAACCAAGCTACTGCAGCTTCAAGTACTTTGCATTACATAGATTTGAATTTTTTAATAAATTAATGTTAGATTTTTTTTAATATTCAGACATATACTCTAATATATATACAGTACAATAAATGCTCTCATACTTTAAAAAATTTATTTTGATAAATCCCTGAGAATGTGTGTTGACAGTTGCTAAGTTTCCACATGCATAAGCATTGTGTGCCATGCTTCTGGATGAAGAGCACTGCAAAGCCACATTGTCAGCCTTTTAACTACTAGTATTTCATTTGTTGGTTTGTTTAAATATGTTGAAATATAATGATGAGTTACAAAGGAGCAAAGCTGAATGCATTTGAGGTACTTATCACAGGATGGAGGTGCTTTGTTTGCTTTTTTAAAGCCATTGCAACGTATGTTTTGTTTTTGAGGCTGTGAACATATATAGAAAGAACAGGAGAGTGATGTGGGCTTTTGCCACTTGACAACATGTACTCAGTGTAAACCAAACCTTTTTTTAACCTTTCTCTCACACAAAACAGAAAAAAGGAAAAAAACTTAAACACACAAACTTTCACAGCATGACAGTTTAGTTTTCAAACTCAGTATAACTATACACATATAATACCAGTGTGGCTTTGTTTCTTTAAGTTCAAAAAGATACAAAGGCAGGCTCAAGTCATACCAAACCACCTCCTCCCTTCACTCATTTTCATCAACCAAACCGCTCACGAACCAACATCATCAGTTTCTTTTTGCCTTTGTAGATTTGTTTTAGGTTATCAATAAACTGTGTAAACTGTATGTGTCCATCATGAGCAATTAAGAAGGTCTCTCGGGCCTTGCTGAGGAACTCTATAAACTCACTATAGTGTCGTGGGCTGATGTGAGTGAGACGTGAATGAGTTGTATTAATGTAAGCTCCGATTGTGGCATCCAAGAGTTGTCTTAAAGGGGCTTTGTCCAGTGACATGAGCTTACCAGAATTCCTCCTTCCATGGAGTCCCACCATGCCAGGAGTGGTCAAAGTACACCTGCGCAAAATATCTGATAGTACTGTTGCACACTTGACACTTTTGACCACCAGAGGTATTACAGCTGCTAGCTCATTTTTCCCAAGAGAATGGCTGAGCGCACATGCCCAGAGAACATCGTTAATGGCAGGGTGTGTGTCCTGATTGTAACTCAAGTTGAGATGCGTTATGGCCAAAGTGGCCAGCTTATAGGCCCGCATAGGGTAACTGCGGTGCTCCATGTATCGTGCTATAGTAAAAAGCTGTGAGTAGCTCATGCTGGTTGTAGCAGCATCTAGAACGATTTGGTAAGCGGTCTCAAAAGCTATGTGATCCTTTTCACACAGAGTCAGTGCAGAGAGGGCACAGTTCTGAGGATCTTTCATGGCACACTGTAGAGCAAGTGTTCTAGCACTGCTGGCCAGCTTCTCCTGCTGATGACAGTCCAGATGCAGACGGACAATGGTGCTGTTGGACATCACTGTTGTAGCAACAATACTAGTGGCTTCTGTTGGAGTGAAAAGTGTAAACCAGTTTTGCATTATACTATCCAGTGCATAAACACCTGGGGAGAGAAAGAAAGGATTAGGCACAACTGACAAAACCTAGCAGATATAGATGTTCAGCAAAGGATTATATTCAAAGTTCTAAGAGGTTGCCAGTACACTGAAGGAGACCAGCTTCAGCAAGAAAAGCTAAACCGGATAACATGTCTGCAAAAGGACATTAAAACAAAGGCTAACTGTGTACACTCTTGTAGCAATCACTGAAATGCAGATAACAAAAAAGCCTGCAAGATAAGCTTTTATATCCCAGTGAGAAAATTGAGCTGTTTTACTTGTTATCTAAGACAATTTGTATAACAAGTTCTGGCTCATTTGGTCTTATCATATCACTCAACAGCAGCTCTCACACCAAACTCTTAAAAGGCAATTTTAACTTATTTTCTTAATGTGCATCTCACGGTACAACGCATGCACAAAAAAAATGAAAGCATGCCAAATGTCTCATTTAATAGAACACCATGGCATTTAATACCAAGCACAACTTTAAAAGAAATAAAATTAAAAATCCTAACCTCTACCCTCTCCCAACAAGCTTTTCAGATACATCTTGAATTGATATGCACTTGAACATAAAGGTTTTTATTAGGGAAATACTCTGAGCAATATTGTAGAAAGGCTTAGGTTGCGTTAGTGTTTGTTTTGCTTTCCAGTGCAGACAAGAGGCCTGCACAATGTCATAGCCATGTAACAAAAAATCATTACAGTCTAAGGTTGGATTTACAAAGGGTCTTAAAAAATAAAACCAAAAAAACAAACAATGAGAACCCCTTCATGAGATCTTGTCTGCCACACAGTGGGATGCAACCTCAGCATTTTGTTCACCTGTTTTTTGGTTCATCTTCCCCACCGCTGACAAGACAGTGCTCTCATCAGTCTTTTGGAGCCTTACCCTTCAGAGCAAGCAAAGTTGTAGCATAGTGTAACATCCCATAACCACTACCCCTTTCTCTGCTGCAGCCTCAAACCCTAAACCCAACATGGAGGGAAGAAGGGGAAATCTGGGTTATAGATGTTCCTACCTTGAAGGGGAAAGAAGTTACACTGCATTAATCAAGTACTGTCTCACTTGGCCTGTGCCTAGTCTATTACATGCTCAAAAAACCCACCCAGCACTGACATAATTATTGTCTTTTAAAAAAAGGACTTTAAAGAGGAACAGAAGGTGTGAGATATTTGCAGAGCCTGAGTGTTGACAAACAAGATCAAGCCCTCTAAGATTAGCTGACAAAAAGGCAGGAGCCCTTGAGAAGCACCTCAGAACATACCTATTTCTGTTGCACATGTTACCAACCATCTCACCATTTCCCGTCGTCGCCAATTCAATGTTGACAGTGTCATCCGCATCACCTATTAAAACAATACAAAGTACAAATTCATCCTATTGTAAAACCAAGACAATATACCAACAATCAGGGATTTAAGTTACTCAAATACACTGAGGTTCAAAATGGCAGCCTCTTGCCTTCTCTGCTCTGTTACCTCTTTTTAGCTGATATGTCAAAAGACTTGATAAATACTACTCAGCTATCTTAGAAGAGCATACAGAGAGTAATTTCAACTGCAGGTCCTTCTAGGCTAGATGAGAAACTGTTTTATTTAGGGAGAAGAAAAAAACCAAACAAAACCCCCACCATCCCACAAAAAAGCCGTCCCGTCCCCAACCAACAAAAAAGCCCAATTATTCAAATTAAATTATCCTGTCTCCACCCTTTATGTATATAAATCTTTAAAGTGGGAACATGTCAACTCCTGTTGGGCAATCTAACCAATCAGATTTTTCCCCCATCTGCATTTTTTGGTCATTGGCTTCAACAATACATACAGGAGTCCGAGTGTACTGTCATTTGACTGGCTGCTTATGCTGCAAAGATACATACATACACACTTCCAGATATATCCCAGTATTCTGGGACACAAATTATATTCTCCTCTATACTTCCAGTTGAAGGCAGCAACACTGGAAGAAACAGACAGGTCCAGTCTATTAATATGCCCTCTGCATCAAGAGGTGTATTGTGAAGTGTGGGAACAGTGCCAGACACCTGGCATCCTAACCAAGATTAGAACAAGAAAATATTAACCTTAAAGGCTCTGATAATTTGTGTTTGCTGAGCATGCTGTGAAAAAATTACTTTGGTGGAAGACCACCATATGAGTGTGTAACACTGTGATTGAAAACAATCACATGCATGCAATGCTTGAGACATGTTTTGTGTGTTACAAAATTAGCAGAGGCCCCGAGGACCAATCAGAAGGCAGTTGTTTATCCGTAACAAAATTAAAATAAAAGGAAGCTTGCATGGGAAAGAGACAGACAAGAAGAGAAAAACAACAGCTAGAGCAGAGCTCAAAGCTATAACACTGCATCAGTGTTTTCTCATCACTGCCATCTTGATATTGACATTTTGATTTTTTTTATATTTAAATTATTTCTTACACTTAGATTTTTCTTTGCATTTGATGTCATCACCAACAGTGAAGAGCTGCCTGAAGAACAGCCATGAGCAGGTTGAAAGCCTGTGGGTAAGGACCAGAGATCAAGGCAACAAAGAGAACCTTGTGGTTTGTGTCTACTACAGGCCACCTGATCAAGGGGAGCCTATTGACAAAGCCTTCTTGCTCCAGCTACAAGAGACATTGCACTTGCAAGCTCTCATCCTGCTGGGGGACTTCAACCACCCCAACATCTGCTGGGAAAGTAGCATGGCAAGCTGTAGACAATCCAGGAGACTCCTGGAATGCATGGATGACAACTTATTGAGCCAGGTAATAGATAGCCCTACCAGAGAGGATGTGTTACGAGATCTGTTGGTCACCAACGCAAGTGAGTTAATCAGGGACGTCAAGACTGGAGGCAGCCTGGGCTGCAGTGATCACACATTGGTGGAGTTTGCAGTCCTGAGGGATACGGGTCAGGTAAGGAGTAAAGTTAAGCCCCTGAACTTTGGGAAAGCAAGCTTCTAGCTCTTAAGGGAGATAGTCAGTGGGATCCCTTGGAAGACTGACCTCAGGGACAAGGGAATGGAACAGAACTGGCAGATCTGTAAGGAAGTCTTCCATAAAGCACAAGAGCTAACAATTCACAGGATCAAGAAATCAGGCAAAGAAGACAGGAGACTGGTATGTCTGAGTAGGGACCTGCTGATCAAAGTAAAGGGAAAGAAGCAAATGGACAGGCAGTGGAAACTAGGACAGGTATCCTGGGAAGAGTATAGGGATGAAGTTCAGTTGTGTAGGGATGGGGTGAAGAAGGCAAAGGTAAAACTGGAACTGAACCTGACAAGGGGTGCAAAGAATAACAGGAAGGGCTTCTACAGGTCTGTGAAGCAGAAAAGGAAGGTCAAAAGAGGTATACTCCCCTCGATAAACAGTGCTGGAAAACTGGTAACAACAGACGAGGAGGAGGCTGAGGTACTCAAAAACTGTTTTGCCTCAGTCTTCAATAACTCTCAAGTGGATGGACAGCAGGAAAGGGACTGGGGGAGCAAAGTCCCTCCCACTGTAAGTAAAGATCAGGTTTGTGACCACCTGAGGAACCTGAATGTGCAAAAGTACATGGGACCTGATGAGATGCATCCCAGAATCTAGAGAAAATTGGCTGATGTAGTTGCCAAACCACTCTCCATGAAATTTGAAAAGTCGTGACAGTCAGGTGAAGTCCCAGGTGACTGGAAAAAGGGAAACACTGCACCCATCTTTAACAAGGGTAGAAAGGAGGACCCTGGGAACTACCACCCTTTCAGCCTCACCTCTGTGCCTGGGAAGATCCTGGAACAGATCCTCCCAGAAGCTCTGCTAAGGCACATGGAGGACAGGGAGGTGATTCAAGACAGCCAGCACAGCTTCACCAAGGACAAGTCCTGCCTGACCAACCCAGTGGCCTTCTATGATGGAATGTCTGCATCAGTGGACAAGGGAAGGGCTGCAGATGTCATTTATCTGGACTTCTGTAAAGCCTTTGACACAGTCCCCCACAACATCATTGTCTCTAAATTGGAGAGATGGATTTGATGGGTGGACTGTTTGATGGATAAAAAAGTGTTTGGACAGTCACATCCAGAGGGTAGTGGTCAACAGTTCAGAGTCCAAATGGACACTGGTGACAACTGGTGTTCCTCCAGGGATCTGTATTGCAACCAGTGTTAATTAAAATCTTCTATATTGACATAGACAAAAGGATCAAATGCACTCTGAGCAAATTTGCAGATGACACTAAGCTAATGGTGCAGTTGACACACCTGAGGGGCAGGATCCAATGATTTATCTCTCTGGACAAGGAGTACCTGCAAAGAAGCTCTCATAAAGCCAGCAGAATCATAAAAAAAAGGACTACAAGCTCTTATTGCCATACCCATATTTTATATAATTTGTAGTCATTGCCTAGGCAATCACCAACTGTATGAAGTTTAAAAAAGATAACTGCCAGATTCTGCACCTGAGACGAGGCAGCCCTGGATATATGTATAGACTGGGGAACAAGAGGCTGGAGACCAGCACTGTGGAAAGGGACCTGGGAATCCTGGTTGATGGCAAGTTGAATGAGTCAGCAGTGTGTCCTGTCAGCCAGGAGGTCCAACTGGGATGTTGTGGGTTGATGCTGGCTGGATGCCAGGCACCTACCAAAGCCACTCACTCACTCCCCTCCGCAGCTGGACAAGGGAGAGAAAATTTAAGAAAGGGTTCATGGGTTGAGATAAGGACCAAAAGAGAGCACTCATCAAATACCATCACGGGCAAAACAGGCTCAATGTAGAGATATGCATTGAATTTATTTCACTAACAAAATCAGAGCAGGATAACGAGAAGTAAAATAAAACTTTAAAAGTACCTTTCCCACAACCCTCCCTCCTTCCAGCTCTGCCTCCTACCCCAGCTGTAGCATTAGCATTAATCAAGTTATAATAAGCAGCCTAGCTCAGCTCCATGAACCAGCCTCTGGGCTGACTGACAGAAGCTCACAACCAATGGGAGCTCTCCTAAAATACAAGCATTTGACTGGTTAAGAGTCTGTGGAGCATAGAGTTTAGACCAATGCCTGTGAAGCACCAGGAGTTTTGAATTGTCTATAAAAGGGTGTCGGAGACAATAAACAAGGCTGTTTGTCTGAGGAAATGCATGAGTCTGTCTTATGTCTCAAGCATAGGAACTCCACATCACAGGTGGTGCCACCATGTGAGGATTGAACAGTCCAAGGACCTGTGGAATCACGGAGAGAGACGACGCAAAAAGCTGAAAAAGAAAGAGGTTGGAAAGAGCCCGAAAATAGGCAGCAAAGGCTGCAGGAGCTAACTTTGCAACAAAGGTTGCGGAAAATCACAGCCAAAGGGCTGTGTGGAAGAGAAACCAGAAAAAGCTGGAAAAGGAATTGTCATCATATTGCAAAAGTTCCATACTATTGTCTCCTTGTCACAAAAGTTTCATACCTTCTTGGTGTTTTCTCATGGGCAGCTCTTCAGAGCACTGACTCTTCCTCACAAAGTAGCCAACTGACTCCAGTTCCCTTCTCAACAAGCCAACCCACTCTTTTATAACACTGTTGTTCTCATTGGTCACAGCTGTGGCCTGTTGTCATGGATTGACCCTGGCACAGTGCCAGAGCCCACATGAAAGGTATGTTTCCAAAATGGTTACTGTGAGATGTGACCCGGAAACAGAACAAAGCAGGCTCCAACTTGGGAATGGAGGGAAAAAAACAACACTTTATTAATCTACAACATAAAGACAAGAGGGGAAAAAAAAAAGAAAAAAACCACTCACAACAATCCACAATGGAACACTTCCAAAAACACTCCTCCTTCCCCCCACCCCTCTAACACTCAATTCTCAGTCCAATACCATCCTTCACACAACCTCCCCCCAGTTCATCAGGAGAGAGGAGTCTCCCTCTTGCACCATGGGCCTCACCAGGAAATGACAGTGGGAACTTCCTGTGCTTCCATGTCACACGTGGCAGCCGCCTGAAGAGAATCTGCCGTGGTGACCATCTTCCTTCCATGTCCACTGCTCTCATCACTGTCCATGGATCCAAACTGCTTCTTA